GCACCTTCTTCAACATAATTTTGTGTTTTTGGAAAATGTATGAAGAAAGCAAAACAGATAACTGATGTGTACATTCATACTTATATACATATGTATTTCTTATTGAAAAATTTAAATCAGGAAACAATGAAATTAATTGGAGAGCAAATCTTTAGAGCCGCTGGTATGTATGATAGCATTTGTTTAAACTTATAAATGATTGTATTATTTAACTCAAAATATATTTCAGATTACGGGGCCAGCAATTAAGGCGTCTACGTTCTAGCGTTGCAATCTTGCCCCGCCCAGAAAACTTACTGGGTACAGCCGGAAATTTTTCAAGGCGTGAATAGTTTGGGCCACTCCCGGGTGAATACAAGTTAAATAACTTTTCCAGGAAATCATCCTCGCCACACTTATCTTGTGGATTGTATAAAAGTATATATGTATGTATGTATAATGTTTGAGTTTGTCATTACTGTTCGATATCCGTTTTCTAATTTTAGTTAATATTGTAATAATAATTATTTATGTTTTTTTCTGTTTTTGTAATAATCAGCTTAAATCTTGTATTTATGTGCCTAAGTATGTATATATGTATATCATTAAAAAATTAAATAAATGAATTGCGTAAAAAGCAAAATCTTTTTAGCTTATGTAAAATGCTCGTTATGGAGCAATGTGGGAGTAGTCTTCCATTACTCCATGAGGAGGAATTCGGGAGTATAGAGGCGCTCTTTTATTACTCGTACAGGAGGCTTCCGGGATGACTCTTATGGGAGTACTCCCTTACTACTCGTTAGGGAGGAATGTGGGATGTTTTCTATGTGCACTCCCTTGTTGTCTTTTTGGGAGGTTTCTGGGAGGTAACTAAGGGAGTACTCCCGTATTGCTCCATTAGGAGGTTTGTGGGATGATAATTCTGTGTGTGCTCCCCGATTGCTTGTTTAGGAGGTAAAAGGGATTACTCCCCCTCCTAGGACATCCAATGTTAAAGGGAGTATACAAAATTACATGCTTATACACAGAAGCATAGGGAGCAATGGGGAGTATTCGTATACTCCCAAGGGAGTACTCACCGAGCAATCGTACGATGCTCCCAAGTTCTACTGGGCTATAACATGTATCAAAATTTGTACTACGCGAAAAATTTAAGTATCTTGCGAAATGGGCGCAAAAATAAAGTATCTTCCGAAAATTTACGCAAACATGTATCACTTTTGATGTATATGGGTCAAAACGGCAACACTGGTGTTGAGTACACATAAGCTTTGATCCAGTACTCCATGAACTTACAGGAACTTGCAGGAAAAATGTTCCCGTACTCCAAAATCCTCCAAAATCCTGTAAATGAGAGCGACTTTTGGAGAGTTGTGTAGAGAATGAAGTTGCAAGATTTTACCCGAACTTTTTCTTCTGGTAAAATCACGAAAAGTGTCAAGCAATCACTGGTTGACGTTTTTACAGGAAAAATGTTTTGTTTGTTCCCGTACTTTTTGTTGTTACTCACTTTTTACTCTCACTTCAGAGAGTAATTTTGCTGTTTGACAGTTTTTCACGAAAAGTATTGGATCAGAGCTATGAACAGGTCTATTCTGCGCTGGTAATAAAAAGTTTGTAACCGGTAAATAAAGTTCCTGTCAATTTTGAAACCCTTTTCGCATTCTGTATACTCTTGTAACCGGTAAATTTTGTTACCATCTCATAAGCTGGTAACAAATTATTGCCCCGTGAAATATGCAATGCCAGGATTCTTCATAGCTGAATTGTTGAATATTTTAACTGCATTACCAACGTACCTAGAATCGCGGTGACAAGAACTGGTAAAATTTTTTGGTAATACAATTTTCCGGTTACAAAATCTTCGGTAACGTGCAGAATAGACCTGAAAAACGCAAGAACAACAATAAATTGCCAATTAAATGAAACCAAACAATAACACGAGTCCAATGTGTGTGTTCACTGAGCAGCGAGGCGTAAGTAAGCGCACGTGAAACCATCTCGCAGAGCGTTTTGTATGCGCAAGACACAGCCGCTTCGATGTATGTACATACGAACTTATGGAACTGCGCAAACTACCAGAGTATGTATGTATGTATGTATAGGCGAAAAGTAATGCGAACATGCAATGAATTTCAAAAAATAAATACAATAAATCCAACTCGAGCACTGCTAAATAACATTCAGATACACCTCTGCACGACTGGATATGTATGAATAAGCTATAGGAGCCTAGTACATACATGCGTACATATATATGAGTCTCTTGGTTGGTACCTGCACAATCTGCGTCACACTCAGACCCTGTAACAAATCAAACTTGGTCAGAACTCGCGTCGATTTACATATCGTTCCATTACGGCGTTAACCTCGTATCTGCAACAGAGTCAGCCTAGAGACTGTAAAAAAATTATTATTTTCTTCCAATAGGATACAATAAACCAATAATATATGTACCTAATATTCTTGATTCAACTGACACTAGTAATCGCTCACTTATAGTTTTTGGTTTTATTTCAAAACAGTATGATGCTTAAAGTTTTGATGTAAATTATTCTATTAAGCCGCTTGGCAGCGAATGCTTAGGCCACTAAATTAACATACTAACGACAGAAAATTAATATTTCATATCAATAATTGCATTAAAAACTATATTTCTTGGCCGCACTTGATTAAAAAGGAAAAATATTTCACATAATTTTATTTATTTGCAACAGCTGACGAGCGACGCACGCGAAAAGTTGCGAGTTGGCCATCGTTTTGGTTTGTGTTGGCGTGAGCGTTGTCGAATTTTGGCTAGGTGGACGGCTGCATTTGAATTCATGTATTCATAGTCAGCTGTTGAAGCGACGCCAACGCCAACGCCAACGCAACGCCAAAGTTCTATGTGGACGGGCCTTAACGCAGTGGCAGTGGCAGCGCCAGTTTTTCGAAATCAGCTGTGTTTTTAGAAAATCTGTTGTCCAATGAAGCGACTCACAATACAGCAGTGGCAGCTAGCAGTACTGCCCAGTTTAGCCCAAATTCACTGCCACTGCCTTCATCGCAGCAAACTTCGCATGTTGAATTTGACAAGAACGAAACGCAGCTAATATCTGTTGAGATCACTGAAGCCTAAAAGGCAACAACAAAAATGTAAACAAACAAAAGGGAATGTCAAAAAAAGCAGTCACTGACAACGCCGTATTTTGTTTACTACGGCAGTGACTGCCAATATTAGCAGTAACAGCTGATTTTAAAAACTGTCACTGCCACTGCCACTGCGCTATTGTATTTTGGGCTTTAGTTTTCGCATAAATGTAGATGCGTTTCTGTTTTTCTTTGCACATGCAAATCAGCTGATCGATTGACACTTTGCATGAGCTAACAGGAAAAAACGTCGGACTAAATCCTGTAACTTTTGACTAGGAACGGTTGCTCAGATACTCTCTCAAAAGTGTTTCCACTTACAGGTTTTATGTCAATAGGAACGACTTCCTGTAAGTTCTGACTAAATCCTGTAAGCCGGACTGCTATTGGAACAGCCTATGTATGAGCTTAACATGCATATATGAAAGAAGAGGAAGAACCTCATCTGTCGCTAGAAACACAGAAATAGATATAATCTGGCCACAACTACTGTTGTGGTGTAGCCCTGTCGCCGCCAAAACAATTACATACCTACTTAAGAGTACGTGTTAAAATAATTTGACAGCTGTGGTCCGTAGCCCGTCGTTTCCAATTAGTTCCAAGCTTAAATGTGAAAAAGTTTGACGACAGCAAAACGAGCACAATGCAAGTTTCAACTGCCCAGCTCTGTATCGGTTTTGCAGTAGTTCACAGACAGTTTCTAGGGTGGTACTAAGACTTTGTCAGACTGTACCGGCAGGGTCGTTTTGCCATTTACTCACCAACTGACGAATTCGCCAAGGTTTGCGCCAGAAAAATTAATACAGGTAAAGTAGAAAATATGTACTCATACATGTGTTTGTGCATAAATATGTATGAGAGAAATATTTATGTATGTACATACAAAAACACCCAGCATATTGGGAATAATTTTAGCTCAGCCGGCAAGTACATACTATTCCTGGGCTCTACTAGCCCGAATTGCACAGAGTCGAACCGACTGAACGACTATCTGGCTTGGCTGTTAAATTAGTAGTCTGGCCTGCTGCCAGGCAGATGATCGACTAGCTGACGATACAAAAGGAGTGTTCGCTATGCAATTGCCAGTAAGAATTAGCCAGTAACAAAATTCAGAGAATAAATTACCTTACTCTCCCAAAGAGAGAAACTTACTAAGTTTTGCGCGAACAGGAATTAGCAAACATTTGCAAGATTCACTGCCAGCTGACGTCCACGGTTCCATTTCGAGCATAATAAATTATATCAAGTGGAAATCAAAACAGGACCCTTACGTATATTTTTTCTTATTCTGACTTTCTTCAACATACGCTTCAATTTCTTTGAGGAAGTCACTGTCATATTTCTTATATCGACAGCGGTGTCGAGTGCGTTCCGATTACGAATACAACTTTTTCAGCCGCGTACCTTTCAAATATTTGGAATTAATTAAATTAATTGAATAACCAAATAGTTCATACTTCTTTCATTAGTAAATCGCAACAAGATTGTTCATTTTTAAATTTAACGAACTCGTTGATTCAAATTAATGTTGACAAAAATGCAACCGTGTGCCACAATCCTGCTTGCAAATTTTTCTGGCAAAAAGTGTCCTAGCACGAATTTGCAACTTCCCCTCCAAATGAAATGTCAAAATTATGCTCTCTCCTTGCAAGTTTTACTGGGTTTTTGGCTAAACGAACACGATTTGGTAACAATTGGTACCAACTTGTACAAATTTTTTGATTAGCGAACACTCCTAAAATTTATATAAGCATAAGTTTGTATGTACATATGGATGTAAAGATGTGTGTGGTTGGTTTACTGGCTGCCTTATGCCAGAAGGGAACGAAGGAAACCGAAATGCCTGCTATGCTACTGGCGCGTTCAAGTTGAACACGTTCTGGCGAAGGCGCGCAGCCGCAGTTGTAAAGGGATATGCGCGCCGTGTAGAACACCCAGAGAACAAGTATAGGCTGTGTAGGTGCATTGTAAATATACTATTAGGAGATTTGTTGCAACTATCTTGGCTATTGGAATAAATAGCATTATAAAACATCTAATTTCAAGAAATATTAAAATAAATTATACCAGAAGCAAGAGTCGGTCTGCCAAAAACGCCTTTTACATATGTAGGCATAAGCTTAAATAGGTGCATATAGATATATCTATAATGTTTATTTATATGGTTGTGCCGCAGCCTGCTTAAATGAAACGCCAAAGTTTGCAGCAGTTAAGAAACAACAACAACCACAGTGAACGACTCGTGCAGCCATTTATGTAGATATTCGTTGCATCTGCGTAATCCGCTTTAAAGGCTATTCCGTACGCGCCGAAGCGGTCCCGGAGTTCAAGTGCGCGACTGAATGAGTGACGCATGCGCGAGTACAAAAACTAACTAAATACCAACAAAATCCATATATGTACATATGCATGTATGTACATACATATGTATATCAAGGTATTGTAATAACGGATCAAAGGGAGCAGCTGGGGGAAAAGGTGACGGCACGTAAACGACAGCTGCTATTTTTTTTCTACTTCTCCAAATAAATTGCTTGTCAGTGTTTTGTGTATGTATGTATGTCCAATCAAAGGAAACAGCAGCTGTGTACGAGGAAATAGCATTAAGATCTAAAAATAGTTTAAACAACCACAATAATAATATATAATAATACAATTTACTCCAAATGTGCCAAATTAAATATAAATCATTACTTGTTTAAAAATACCTAATACTTTATATGTAATTCAGTAAGAAGGAGAAAAAAAATCGTGTGATTTATTTTGAGTGTTAAATAATATAACTCTTGCTTTTATTGGTGTAATTTTGTTTAGATGATGTGTTTTTTAATGCATAATATACTTATGCAGTGTTCTGCAATTTAATAAAATTTACCTGAATCGTTACATATGTGTATTTGAAAGCAATCCAAACAAGGAAGCCACTCACGAATATAAGCATTTAGATTTCCAATTTGCATTATTTTGGGCAGTGAAAAGTTCAAAATGTTCCCCTATTCAGGACGACAGCGGTTACGCACGCCAGCTGCCCTCTTGTCGGGCCCAACAACCAACCTTTTAATAACAACCATTAAATTTTCAATATGTCTGATAATGCTGCAAGTGGCAACGGCATTGACGGAGTATACACATTCGCACCAGCACCATCACCGACATCAACAACACGCCAGCTTTATAACGACTTCCACAGCCGCAGACATCGCGAAACATGTCACCAGTAGCAGCAGCACCACCGTTCCGACAGCGGGTATTCAGCACACCAATTGGCGCCGCATAGAAATGATGGATGCCAATGGCCTATACTGGCTGGAGTGGTGGCTTCAAGGGTCTACATCGCAGGAGATATTCTTCCGTGTCACCGTCAATACACGCGGCTTCATTGGACTCGGCTTTGCGCGAAAGAGTCCCCGCATGGCCAATGCTGATTTGGTATTGCTTTGGGTCGATGATCGAACCGGCAAAGCGAATGCGCTGGTGAGTTAACTATGCTTTAACGTATTCCCAAGAGTATTTATAAATATTTGTGTATCTTATATCAGTTGTAAGCCGTCGATAGAAAATCGGCCACGGGGGTAAATATGTGAGTGGGCCTCCCTCTCCCCACAGAATAAATTTTCATTTTCGATTTCCAACGGTTTCACTCCATACTTGTTCAGTGTTTTTTTTTCGTAATAGATATGTATATGGAGTATGATTTTTTCGTTAAAAAACTTCTTTCGTCTTAATAGAGAATTGTTTTTTCTGTACAGATCAAATGAATGCGTAAAATAGTTTTTCCTAGCTTTAGTCAAAGTGCGTTCTGAAATTTAATTGGAATGTAAAGAAGTAGAGATAGCAAAAGTTCGTAGGTAATAAAAGAACATAAATATCAAGTACAACAATTTTATTTGGATATAGACATAGTAGTATAATCGATTTCAAAATGTGCTTTTATTTTTCTATACATAGGTACATGGGGAAATCTTTTGAGGCGGACACATTTTGCGTACTGGCATATTAGTTGTGTTTATTTGGGTTATCCAGCTCAATATCACGATCATTTCTCACGGAAACGGTCTGGATCATTCTTATTAGAGTTGGCAGCACTAATTTTATAATAGGTTCATTCCTTATCTTTTTGGACTAAAATCTGAAAAGTGTCAAAATGCCAGAGCGTAAGCAAAATGCGCTCACTAAAAGAGAATAGCAGGAAAAGTAAAGGAACGCAAAAAACCAAATTTTTAGTCCAAAGAATGGCAACAACAAACCTAACGTCAAATAAGAACAGAAATGTATGTACAAAACACATTCACACAAGCACATGCACAATAAACACTTGCTATATCAATTATTTTTTGCCTCCTTCCAATTTCAATTCATTTCTTTTACTTTTTAGATTATTCTCACTTTTATCGTATTCTTTAATTTCCGTTAATTTAAATTCAGTTGAGTTTGACACTTTTCAGGATTTTGCCAGAAAAAATTCTTCTGACTAAATCTGACTACTTCGGACTGATGAGAGTCACTCTCACTGACTGTTGCTCTCTCATTTTTGCTGTCATTTCCGAGTTAAGGAACGCTTTTTGGACTAAATCTGACTACTTCGGACTTTTTCTGACTATTTCTGGGAGATAAGGAACGCTCCTAATACTAGCACGAGGAAGACGTGGTTAACACTAATCTTCGGTAAAACATCGTTATCGACGTTACCGACTCCATGTTATATGCATGGAGCCGAACACGTCGATAATGATGTTTAGACGGGGATTAGTGTTAACCACATATTGAGTAAACGGCCCTAAATGGGGAAAAGTACATTTAAACGAAATAATATTCACTCAAACAAATATTTAGCGTAAAAGAAATTTATGGCAAAATATATGTTTGTGTATATATTCATTTGTCAGTGCTACCAAACCGTACTGCCATATTATCAGTGACACAAACCAAAACGAGCGGATCATAAATTGAACCAGATCTCTATCAGGATCATACCGTTGTTGTTGCATTTGCGTTCAAATTTCTTATCCGGATCCCGATCACTGCCCATAGAAACACATCAATTGTTGTCGCCACTAAGCAGCTTTACTGCCAATCGCGGTTTCTATACTCGTACCTTCGTTAATAATACTGATATATGTAAACATCAGAAAATAGTTATTTATAACAAAACTAAATGACTAAATTTCTAGTGCAACTCGCACAAAATCTACTTTTTATTAAGGTATAACTACGTGAGCGGCCAGACCTTTAGCGTCGGGTTCTCAGACATTTATTTGTAGGTCCTGAGGAATAAAATTACAAGTATTAAACAAATGTGCCAGTTACCGAATGCGAGAAAAAATGCGGCTCACAACTGTAACCGAATTTCGCGTATGATACAAAAAGCATGAATTTTCTTGTGGTAGTCGTTGAGCGGACTCATTTTACATTTGTGGGTATAAAGTATATTTCTTTACTTCTTTAGAAGAAGAATACGAGTTTAAAGGACAATGTGGCTGAAATATCTTCTTGAAAAAACGCGTGATTAGTGCGTATTTTTTTACTTAATAATGGNCATATATGTAAACATCAGAAAATAGTTATTTATAACAAAACTAAATGACTAAATTTCTAGTGCAACTCGCACAAAATCTACTTTTTTTTAAGGTATAACTACGTGAGGGGCCAGACCTAAAGCGTCGGGTTCTCAGACATTTATTTGTAGGTCCTGAGGAATAAAATTACAGGTATTAAACAATTGTGCCAGTTACCGAATGCGAGAAAAAAAGCGGCTCACAACTGTAACCGAATTTCGCGTATGATACAAAAAGCATGCATTTTCTTGTGGTAGTCGTTGAGCGGTACTCATTTTACATTTGTGGGTATAAAGTATATTTCCTTACTTCTTTAGAAGAAGAATACGAGTTTAAAGGACAATGTGGCTGAAATGTCTTCTTGAAAAAACGCGTGATTAGTGCGTATTTTTTTACTTAATAATGGTTTTTCATTGAGCACAACCAATCAAAGGCAAAAAAATTCATAAGCCCTGGTGTGATATTTTATGTTTGTGCATTTGGGTCTATGTAAAAAATGCTCACCCCTGAATACTATTTTAATGGTCCGTACTGTATAATCTTTACTAATTTAAGCGCGATTGGTTTGTTTGTTACACTTTCACCTTTAACTACTCATAATGAAATTTCGCACACTGGTGTCATTTAGCCCAACTTAAAAGATAGGGTTGCTTTTTTCCCGATTAGACAAAGGGGCGTAGCACCTGCATACTTCTGAAAGTATTTGTGGTAGAGTACTTGAACTTGGTATGGAGATACACGAAATCAATACTATACTCATGGAAAAATGTTGATTTTCGGAAAAGGGCCCGTGGCCATATAGACTGAATTTTTTTTACTACCACCTGTTAAAAATTTAACTTCAATTCAAAGTATTTTATAAGTTAAATGAATTATTACAAAACGTATGTCGATCAAGTCGTTGTATCCCAGAAATGGTGATTCTTAGGAATAAAAGTGTCATGCGGGGTTTGGAGATAATTGCATGATCTGCACTTTTGTCTAACCTATTTTTATAATAAACCTTACCGTTTGGTTTGTGACCTATGACCATGAATATTTTTTTTTTTACAGAACTGAGATCGATCAGGACTTTTCAAATTGCACTTACAGTGACTTTCGTAACATTCGAAGCAATTTTTAGCATTACGCGAGCTACTGCAATCTTGAAAATCTAACTTGACTGGGCTAGTAAGAAACAATTTTAAAGATATGGTTTAAATAGAGTAGCTCTTGAAAAATATTAGTTACACGGGTGAAAATGTACTTCGGTTAGGTAACTTATGAAAAAAAATGTGCTAGTAAGTTGAAAAAATAAAATAAAATTTTATTGAAAAGTCCCCATCTCAAAAGATTTTCCCACATACATATCATATTAAGAAATTCATCCGTATGCTGTAATCCGAAAGTTCATAGTTACGAATTCGTAGCTCCGTTCCGAAAATTGATATGCTGTAATCCGATCGTAACTATCAAGGGTGTTGCCAATTAAAATAGTGAGCTTCGAAGTTCTTAATCAGCTGCTTTGACAGAAACAAATGAAAATAAATATAATCGTAAGTGAATAGTGAAATTAAAAAAAAAATAGTTTAGTCATTATTTGAAAAGACTTTTCCTTAATTAAGTAGAATACAAAGGATTCAGTGGCCGTTGCAATTTTGTCCCAGGAGGAACAGGAACAGCTAACAGTTGCATTAATATACAAAGGAGATTGTTCTGATCAATTTAGCTTAAATGATAAAATGTAAGCTCCCTCCTTTTAAGGGCCTCCATTTCACTAGATATTGTGCCGCTTTAATTCTTGGAACGCTTTCCCAAAATTCCACCACATCCTCTTTAGCTCCATTTACAAAGCCTCGACCAATGTCCGGCTTTTGGCTCATTCATTCCACCAGTTTTTCGTACTGGGCGCGATTTGTTGTGATCTTCGATCTGTTAATTTTATGAACATTTAATAATAAATTTTAATTCACACTTCAACTTACATACATACATATTTTTGCGTTTACACACTTTATTTTATTGATATTTTTAAACAATTTGTTTCGCTCCGACACCAGTTGCTATTCGTACAAAATTTCCGACTAATACATAAAAATTACAGCTACGTCGGATTCAGGCATACCAATATTACGAATTTCGAAGATGGCCTACGAATTTCGAAATTACGATACGACAACGCGGATTTTAGCATACCAATTTTACGATTCGTAGCAAAACCGAAACTACGACGGATTACGGCATAGGGGTGATCATCTTGAACTACTCTTATTATTGACTAAACACAAAAATATAATTCGAGAACTCATCGAATTATTGCTTTGAAGACAAAAGTACCTCACTCGAGAAAATTTGTTTTGTCTAAAGTCTACAGATAAGTACATGCAGTTTTAAACCCTTCTAACAATTTAGACTATCAGAAGAGAGCTTATCTTGATTTGTTGAAAGTCCTACCGTCATCCTTATGAATAAGTAGTATACTCAGCAGTAAATAACTATGTATGTGTGCATAAAACCCAAAGTAAATAACGCAGTGGCAGTTTTTCGAAATCAGCTGTTTTTTAGAAAGTGTGGTGCCAATGAAGTGACTCACAATACAGCAGTGGCAGCTGGCAGTACTGCTCAGTTTAGCCCAAATTCTAAATTCACTGCCAGTGCCTTCACGCAGCAAACTTCGCATGCTGAATTTGACATAAGTAAAATGCAGCCAACTTCTGTTTATGTCACTGAAGCCTAAAAGATAACAACAAAAATGTAAACAAACAAAAGGGAATGTCAAAAAAAGCTGTCACTGACAACGCCGTATTGTGTTTGCTACGGCAATGCCTGCCAATATTAGCAGTAACAGCTGATTTTAGAAACTGTCTATACCACTGCCACTGCGCTATTGTATTTTGGGCTTAAGGCTTCCGACTGCTGTTGTGTCAGAAATTTTCAAAA